AGTGATTAATATAGTAATGGAGAATATGTCCCTCGAATTCATGGAGCATTGAAAAATAAAACAAAAACTAATATGTGGTGGTAAACTACAACGAACAAAGCTTGGTGCACAGGTAAACAAATGAGACACGCGACGCCTCTGACAATATATTATTGAAAAATGTCCTGAAATCTTTCTGGGTTCATTTTTAAAAATCTTTATGAGTCCATGAAACTCAAGAGATCCTGTTTTGGTGAAAAAATGCAACTGTCCCCTGCTACAGGTTTTCCGGATGCATACGAGAAGTGGTGAATGTGGTCAATGATGCATTTAAACATTATCTAAAGCCTATTGAATAAAAACCATGAAGAAAGAGCTATCTCACGGTAGGTTTTGAGCAATTAAAAGAATAACCAATTCCAGGGAAATGGCCATTTCTCGGTTGATTATAAGCCGATTTTAGTTCTTGACGTATCTTCCGCTTTGGAAATGGTTCTTATTCCTTTGTATTCCCTAAAAATATCGATTTTAACCGGGCTTCTATAGAAAATTACATCACAGTTTTAGCAAGTTCGACAAGCCCTCCGGAAATCCGGGATATCTCCGGTATCCGGTGACCAGGGTTATTTTCGTGGCTAAACCATAAAACTAAATTAGTTTTCTAGTCGAATGCTCTTGAAAAATTAAAATCGAACCATGTTTGACGAAGTTAAAACACTCCAAAGTTGAACAAAAATGATGGTCAACACCGGTCATAACGTCAATGATGTTTTATGAATTCGAGGGCTACGCTCTTCTCCGCCAGATGCTCAGCCGTTGTTGGTACCGGCTCAGTCGGGCGTGCTTATTAATGTAATAAAGAAGTAGCGAACGACAGCATAAGAAGGCCACTCTTTAGATTATTGAAATAATCAACTTTTGAAAAAGTAATGATGCAGAGTTCTTTGCTATAGGGGGTTATTCCGAGAGTCGAAGTGACTTTTGTCACTAGTGAAGTGAGAAAAATCACGTCGTGGTGACGTGACTCTCCATTTGATTTGCACAGAGAGTCACGTCACCACGACGTGACTTTTCTCACTTCACTAGTGACTAAAGTCACTTCGACTCTCGGAATAACCCCTATAGTATAGTTTGTGTTGTAATTCACATTCTAGCTTGATAACGTCAAGTTGAAAGACGAGCTAGAAGAGGTGAAAAGCAAATCATCGCTGAAAACTCGGAAACTGTTGTTGGAAGGGTTTTGCTTGAAGTACCCAGCCTGTCAACGATACCATTTTACCATTGTAGACGAATTACGCGTATCTGTCAAGGATAAGCGAATAAAATAGTAGTAAATGGAAATTACTAATCCTTCTCTTTTTCTTTATACTCCTTATAGTTCTTTTCTATTCCACCGTGGTCTTGGAAACTAGCTAGCCATATATGGGCCAAATAGGAAAATTCACTTTTCCCATACGGTATCTTACTCATAATTAATTATATCTTAACTCATGAGTATGATTGCAAAACTGTGAACTGCAAAGTTTAAGGAAATTGATTGGGCTTTTCGTTAATAATATTTTCAAGATTGGACACTCACAAATAACATCTCAAAAGGATGAAAATTACTAAGTGAATTTTAACCTACGAGTATCTCGAAAATAACAACTTTGGGCAATTTAAGCACCAGCAGCTTTTTTGTTTGTAAATTTAATGTGTTTTAATAATAACACCAATTAAAAGATATTTCCTAACTGTAGGTAGTATTTTGGAACAAAGTACTTTTTTCAATAATTCATAACTATTTTGTTAATGAACTGCCCAGCAAATAAACATTGTCAATAGGTATCACTTAATCTAAACTACAATATATATATAAAAAAAATATGCAATTTGAGTAATTTTTTTGTTTTAATTTTGATTTTTTTTTTGTGAATAAGAATATAATTTTTTACAGTGCATATTTCTTCTTGAAAGGCACAATACTTGTCCGCAACTTCGCCCAAGACACCATCTCGATCAAACAAATCGTTCGTGAGATATATGTGATGATGCGTAATGATGCGTATCATTTTTGCATTAGCCCTTTTAATCGTGTACAAAACTAGGGAACCAAATATGTAAAATGACATTTTTGTCAATAATAAACAACTGTGTAAAATAACAAGCAATTCTAAAAACATCGATCGGAAGCGATTTGCGAATCTGTGTGGAACTACTCTTTAGCGCTACCGTAAAATTTATGGTGTAAAAATAACGGTATTGTAATGTACTTATAGTGAAAAATATAAAGTTTTCATTAAATCATGATGTATTACAGAAGCTATTGCAGTTTGACATGTGTCGGGGTTAGACGGCTACCTTTGGTTGGTTGAAACTGAAGCGTAAATAACAATATTTCGTTTCTGAAATATCTCATGCTTCTTTCAAAAACATTTGTAGATCTGTATCAGTATGAATTCATGATATGGAGGCCCCGGGGGATCCACCATAAAATCCGGAACATCCATAAAAGTAGTCCATTCAAAAAACTAGGTTCAGGACTTCTAAGAAGCTTCTGTTACCGACATTATAATTAAGTTGATCAAGGCATTCCAAATGGTGATACTGCACAAGTAAATTAGGAACTCCCTCACTACGCAGCGCTAGTGTACATGTGTACTTTCTGTATCTATAAACTATAACTTGAAATCCTCACCATCTACGAACTCAGAACATCTAATTGAAGTCCACATGTAGACTAGTGCCACGTAGTGAGAGAATTCTGAACTAACTAACCCATAAATTTGAAGGCATTGATGACCTGAACAACTTTACCGAGGACGGAAACATTCTTAATAGTAAAGATCTCAAGATATATTTATACAGGAAATGACTTGCACATTAGCGACGGATAGTGAGAAAATTATGTACTACTGTTCTCTATGAGCGGCCTACTGTGCACTTTTGCCGAAAACAGTAGCCTTTTGTATGGCCAGGATCATGATATATTTCATGTAGCCATCTTATCCCTAGGGCTGGCCAACCTTACCCCGCATATTTTTTTCCTTCATTAGTTAGGCTGTTTTAGATTAGTGATAAAACATCATCAAATGAAAAGGACATTTTCTGATAATCAATGGAATTAGGGAAAGTACTCTAAAGATCAATAATCACTAAATTTATCGCGGAAATTTTAAACAGTTTTGGTTATATTTTACTTCAAGCTTAGAGTGGCCGTCTTACCCCGTCATCCCCTACATTTGGATGAAATCGTCTTCCTTGCGGTCGTCAGCATCGCTTGATTTTTTCATACTACTTCCATCGAGATTTACTTGTCATAACATTTGCTTTTATTCACTATGAGGATACATCTTTTAAGTTCAATTTGAAAACAGAGTAATTTAGGATTTTGTCTAAATATCGACACAAACGCAACAAATGCATTAACTGAAATCATGTCACTTGTTTTCGCATGCGATACGATATCACGATACAAGTATTGATAATAGTAAAGTACCGAATGCAAAGTATCGATACAAAATATTTCGGTATTGGAAGAAAAGTATCGGAACATTACTCATATCAGTAGTATCATAACGTCCCTACTCATACTCACAGCGCTTAAAAATAATTTCAGCTTAAAACTTATAACATCCGCTCACATGTTGTGTTAGTTTTCCATGCACTGATGCAAAAACAACAGTGATACCAATGAATAACGCTAACATATAAAGCAATGCATTTTTGAACCTGAAAACTCATCGGTAATTTTTGCCTGAAAGTCTCCTTAATAAAGATATAAAAAAAAAAATTTTTGCTTTGTTGAATTTTTCAAGACAAAACTCACAGGCGAATATAATCACGCATGAACATTGAGTTTTTGAGTTTTTTTTTCCGAACACTGCTTGCGTGAGACCTTGCGCATTCGATTCCCTAAACATTTTAAAATTAGAGTAGGGTAAAGCGCTACTTCGTCGTAATCGCCCATTTCCATCGATAATATCAATGATTTCAACGTGCACAAATCAAGCATACGTTTGTTCCGGTAGGTTATTTCAATAGCTACAACACAAAGCCTATTAGAGCGCATTGTATGAATATCTACGCATGTTTTCTGTCTTTAACCGTTAAGACGGAATTGCAATTCGTAGGATGAATTTGGAATCAAGATTCAGTGTTAGATTTTTTACTATATTTTTTCAAATATATTTGGATCATTTTAGTTTTTGTTCTTATCCGTTTAAAAATAGAGGTAAGTTCGGGATGTGGTAAGTAGGGCGGGAATTAGATCAAACCCCCTATAGCTGTTGTATCCACTACAACCGTTTGCGTTTCGAGAAAATCAATTACTGATTTTTTTCCTACTATGAACGGTTCTCCGTTGGGGATGTAACTTCGCACATTTACAAATCACTAATCGATGCTAACGGTTCAAACGTGATGAGGACGTTTACCGGACTTAAGTCATTAATAGCTACCAGTTCAGCTTATTATGATTTTTATGTTCACATACAAAGGGGCGATTTTTTGGGTGAAGATATATACACTGGAGTCGCTTTTTACGCGGGTGATACGTCCCGCGTAAAAAAAAACCGCGTAAATTCCGGAATCCGCGTAAAAAAAACCGCGTAAATTCCGAAATCCGCGTAAAAAAAAACCGCGTAAAAAAAGACCGTGTAAGAAAAAACCGCGTAAAAAGCGATATACCGCGTAAATTCTGAAATCCGCGTAAAAAAAACCAAAATCCGCGTAAAAAAAACCGCGTAAATTCCGGAATCCACGTAAAAAAAAACCGCGTAAATTCCGAAATCCGCGTAAAAAAAACCGCGTAAAAAAACCGTGTAAAAAAAAACCGCGTAAAAAGCGACTCCAGTGTATTTAAAAGCCCTTATGTAATAACTGCTGCATTGTCATCAACGGCTAGCCAAATTTTTTGAATTGTTTATTTAAGTAAAATCACTCTCCTCATCAAACAATCACTAGCTACAAACGGAATGAAATTATTAAAAGAAAAAAATACAAAAATCTACCCAACAAAATGCATTTCCATCGCAACTTACCACAAGGGATCAGGCCCCATACTATTTACGAATCAACCATTAGAAGAAAAAATATATTGTTCAGTGGGTCGAATGCAGTTCGGGAAATGAATAATGGTAAGAGAGAAAAATAAAAGTTTGTTTTGCGGAGCGGCAGCAGGTTGTGCAATTCCATGGTTGTCATCATTTTCATATGCCCAGTTGAGTCGGAAAAATCAGGTCGTCAGACACGGGTGGAGAAAATGTAGAAATTGTCAACAGTAAATGATGATTGCGCGATGTGATTTTTTTTTATATTTACGCCGCCCAAGCCACCAGTCAGATGAGCATTTTGCAACCGATAAGAAGTTTTTATTGCATTTCGATGTAGGGGATGCAAATGAATACAGGGCGGGATGGAAAAGTTTCCCATACGCATACGGCAGTGCCAATTTTTCGACGTGACAGCAATAAAACCAGCATTGGTAAGCGGGAATGCGATATTAATAGGAAACGGATGTGTGTTCACATGAAAGCATAGCAGAAGCAGCAGCAGCAGCCACCATCGCAGGATAACCGACAGGATGACGCGAAGATAGCGCGAGAGCGCGTTCGAATGATAAATTTATTTATGATGTTTGAGGCGGTTTGAGGCAAGCCCCGTGCACAATCGAAATTTATTTCGTTCGGTTGCATTGTGGGGGATGAGTTTTTTTATCATCAATTTTTATTCATATCCCCCGTTATCAGGAGTTTACAAGGGCGTGAGAGATTCCGTATTAATTACAATAGCACAACAGCGTGGGACGACATCGATGTTGAGGGGGAGGTGAACGACGATTTTTCAATTTATCAGAATACACCACATGGGGAGCCGGAAGTCCATTCACAGTCGACCCATAACCCACCAACGAGAGGACCACCCATGACAAGCATTCACACGCACACGTGACAATTCCCACATACACACACACGACACCCAAAGCACAGTCAGAAGGGACAATGAAAAATAGTGCGATTGCCAGAGTTTGTGGGCAGAGTGCGACAACGAGACACAATGCAAGGACAGCACGGGTGAACCATGATCCATGTGACCATTTCAGAAGGCAATTGTCGTATTGGATGTTATTTTCAGTGTTAATCCCCAGCCAATAACGAGTGTGGGTCACGAATATCAGTAGGAACCCCACAGGGAAAATACGCAACAATAATTCATCGCAAGGATGGTTTTGATTTTTAGCGTCGATTAGGCAGGATCCGGTTTATAAGTGTCATCGTTCCATGCCAGGTTGGGGCGAGTTTAATTTTTTTTTTTTGCATTCGCAGTCACATTATCACGCACGCCAGGATTTATTACAACGGAAAAACGACAACAACAAAAACAGAACCCATCATGGATTCCCAGTGATGATGATGATGATGAAGCGTATATTTAGTGGTTCAAACATGGGAGGAAAATGTGAATAGAAAGATGCACAAGTGATTCAAAAAGTATTCGAGCGCGATCAGAGGTTTGAGAACAGTAACAGGAACGTTAACACGAGAGTACAAATGTTTCGGCAGCATAACACAGTCAGGTTGGAGTATTTTTTTATGGTCGCCATTTTTTTTTGTTCACAGACACATGGTAGATTTCGATACATGGCGTTCAATGCACAAATGTAAGAAGACGTAAACATCCACAGTAATTCACGTTTGAAAGAGAGCGGAAAAGAAGAAACAAGAACAAGAAAAATATGGAATGAACAAACATTTTTTTTATCAAACACGAACAGAGATGGATTTGGTTTATTAGTTGTGGGAATGAGAACAGTTGGGAAAAGCAAGGAATAATATAAGCAATTGAACTGTTGTTACTGGAAACTGAGATTCGATACACCTTCTGTGAATATAAGCTTCACAGCAAACAAAAATATTTTGATATCATACATTTAGAAATAACTATTTTTACACGTGACGTAATTCATATATGATGTAAATCATGTTCCAACACCGAAGCATACGCAACTCGACGAAACGTGCGTTTGATTGAATTGATTTTCTCGTCTCTTTCAACTGATTCTTATGTCATTGGCGTTGACGGCACCGTCGAAAAATTTGCTGTTCCAGCAAATATTAACAGTTTCTTATGGGAATTTTCGGTGGAGTGAAACGATAGTACAAAGTCCACCATGTTTCACGCACAGTCTGACTTTTGCTTATGGATTTTCTCATAGGAGTAAAGAGCTATATAGAGTCGCCGTCAACGCCAATTAGGGTCGCTTACATGTGTCGGTGTCAGGGCACTGAAATTTGCATCCCTTTTTCGTAGTGTGCACATCAAAGTAGATGCACTTCACCATGCACCAAAAAGGACAAAATTATCATTTATACAGTGCATGAAGTGACGTTACGCTGCCTTTACTGCATTTGTTTCATTAGCGTGCACAGGAATCTTGTTAAGGAGGGGAATTTTTTTTTCTATGGTGCATTTAATTTTGGGATGGGGAGTACCCCAAAGTGCGTGGTGGATGGTGTTGTCTACCCACCACTGTTTCCCTACTATTCAATTTAGCTGATTTTATTTATTTTTTGATCCGGTGGTGGTTCATCTTCTGCAATGCAAACTGCTTTCAAACAGCCAATAGAATTGGCAATTTAATCCCATCAACAATGTGGATGATGATCGATTCGTCAAATGGTTGCAATAGTAGGGCTTTAACCGAAATGATAAATTTGCTGCTATGTTGTTGCCTTAGTGGTTGGATTCAGCTGAAGTCACGTCAGATGGTGGTGACAACCTGACATGAATGACCAATAAGAATTGCATTCTCCTTTCGCATGCACACTACGTCGACAAGTACAAGGTTCAAACAGTGCGCATAGCAGTGAACAAACAATATATTACTCTTGATCAAGGAATCAAAAATATCTCTAAATGACAAAATGACAAGCGATCAACGAACCGAATAATAACGCTATGTCAGAAGTGGAAAGCAATAATGATATAATCTTCTTCGTTCTTTTTCATGACAAGCAGCCCGTGCGGCACAACTCACTCGGGGCGGTAGAAGGAAACGAGCAAATTGTTGGCAAGCTGCTTCACGAAGTAAACCCGAAGATGATACACGTGTGTTAAAGGGAATTTTTTTGTTATGTCTTTTCTCGATTCATATCAAGCTTTGTCCTCATCCGTGTATATTGCAACAAAGCTGGCAAGCAATATATCATTATCCTTCTACCACTCGGATCGAGCTATGTTACAGAGCGAGTTTGTCATGGTAGTCGTGGCAACCGTTTTGTCTGTATCGTTGGTTGCTTTATGTGTTTGGATTCGCTGCTCTTGATCAATCCAATCTTGATCAGTGGTGTTGAGTTTTTGGCACTGATGAAGTCTGCAAGTAGTAGGCGAAATACGCGTATCTGTCAAAAGATGAGCAATTATGACGGAATTAAAAGGAAATAAACCAACACACTACACACACTATTTCAAGGTTTTGAAAGCCCTTATACCATAGAGGTAACTCTATACACCAAACAGACTGTGGCTTATATCAAATAATATAGGCTGTCTTGCAATGAGCACTCATACATCTAGTTTTCACTGGAAATCCTATGTATGATTGCTCATTGCAAGACAGTCTATATTTTTTGATATAAGCCATAGTCTGTACGGGGTATTATATGCTGTTGTAGTAACACTTTACTATTACCGTTGCGAGTACGTTGAACTTTGTCATTTTTAGCGAAAATTGTAGTTCTATTTTTTTTTTAATTTTGACTTAAATGCGATCATTAAAAAGGTTTAAAAAATTTGTAACGATTGGAACATAAGCGCATGAAACTATTTTGACAAGCGAGTACAGGATTGTTACGGAATGACCCTGTCCCAAAGTACCGCCAGTCGGGGTGGCAGGAAATTATGCCGAACATGTTTTAAAAGATGTTTTAAATGTTTTAAAGATGATATTACGCATTTCCAACCAAACTGGACAAATAAGCGTGTTTTCACTTATTAAAAAGTGTGATAAAAGTGCACGTTTACGTAAAATCGTTTGGTTGCCTTCGGTGCACTTATTCCTTATGGAGTAAGAAATAAGTGCGCCGAGGACAACAAAACGATTTGACCTAAACGTGCACTTTTATCACACTTTTTGAATTTTTGGAGCAGTTCAGTTTTAGTTGCAACCAACAATATAAAGGACAATCCCGAACTTATTGCAACGCACATAAACAGCTATATCTTTTAAACCACGGTAACAAATGACTTGAAATTTTCAGAGAAGATTCTTAGACGAATTCTTAGTAAGACAACAATAGACCAAGGTTCAATGGCAAACTTATACCCAAAATCCAAAAGCTGTCTTTGATCTTTGTATAATTGCAAAAAAGTCCTACATTTGAATTCATTGCAGTTCTTTTCGAAATTTTTAGAACTCTATGAGCTCTTTTGAAATTCTTCTCAGAATTCCTCTGGAATTATTTTTAGAACTCTTCTTGACTTTTACTCAGAACACCTTGGAACTAAAATTCCCTTGGAGTTTCAGAAGAATTTGCTCAGTATTATCCAGAAGTTATTCTCGGAATGAGCTAGAAATTATCGGTACTACCTTGAAATTTTCCTCAAATTTTAATTTTCTCGGTATTCTTTTTGAAATTGTCTTGGAACTATCTGCAGCATGCACTAGAAATTATCCACAGAATTTTATTCAAACTCTCCCCAGAAATATTTTGGCACTGCCCTTAAAAAATTTAATGGTTCTTCTCGGAATATTTTTGAACTTTTTTTTTTCTCAGAACACCTTGGAACTGAAATTCCCAGGCCAGTGACAAGGCCTATAACAATAGCAGCGTTTGACAGTAGACAGCATGTCCAGGGCTCAAATAATTTATTTTGCTGTGCTGGACCCGCTGTCACCGTATAACATGTTGCCTACGCGCCTGCCACTGGGCTGCAAATCCCCCTAAAGTTTCAAAAGAATTTCCTCTGTATTCTCCAAAAGTTCTTCCCAGAATGAGCTTGAAATTATCCTCGCAGTTTCCTTGAAATTTTCCTTACCATCCCTTTGAAATTTCATTCAAGA